TGGTGCGTGAAATTTTTAACTGTTTTCCAATGTTTGAACTATTTTTGCATAGACTAAAGTACAAGGTAGTGAAAATCATTAATAGGCAATCATTCGACGGGACGAATTGCACAAAACGCATGATTGCACCAGCTGGTCTGGTGCGCGTTGCTATTTATTTGCTTATTATACCTATATAACAATAGTTATTTGATTTATGTGTGAAACCAAACACTTCAGACTCCCTTGACTCGAAAACGCTTGGTAATAGGCCGAATGACAGCAACCACCTTCTAGCACTACTATCGGTAGCTCCCAGATGCTTTTCAAGCAAGTTGATGACTCCTGGGCATAATATGCCAGTATCAATTTACCATCGAAACGAATGAACGAACCGAAGAGGCACTGATCCTGCTGGCCAGGATGAACTAATGCGGGCCTTTTTTTCATGACAGTGGTGCTATTTGTCATCGTGTGACGAAGCTGTAGGTTGAAGGTGGGTTGGATTGGGGAAGAAAGGTTAGCACGAATGTGCTCGACATTTGACTGCATCTCCGTGTGAAAGATCTGTATAGCAATAGTCCAGCCGGGATTGGTGAATCATATGTTTTCTGCATATTATTTTCATAATTTTCAGTGTATACATTATTTATACCAATCTTCATCAGTAATGTGCGCCCTTCGTATCACTAACATCCTAGTCACTAACATCGGATCCCTACACCGATTGTCCAGACGGTCTTGGCATTCATGATATACTTCTGGATTTTTGAATTTTTGAGCACGGAAAAATTTTTATGCACTTTTTTAGTTTTGTAAGATTTTTCGAAAAAGAATTGAGTTTTTTTTGAGGCAAACAAACTTTTCCATTCAAGTTCAGTGAAATTTTATTTTGAGAAGTCAAATATCCACTGGCCTTTTCAAAGACGCTTAAAGAAGCAGGCAAAAAATCTAGCAAATCCTTTAACGGTTTTTCTCCTAAAGAATTCTTGAAAAACAAACAGAAGTTTGTACGACTTCATGTATGCTAAAGATGTCTGTGGTAGCCTGTCATCAAAACACATCGAAAAGTCCGCACCGTTAGGTTTCAGCTGCAACACTAGACTTACGGTTCAAACGCAACACACTGCTACATGAAATCTGAATGTTTCAGAAATCTGCATATCTCACTTGGAGAATGACAAAACTGGAATTCAAAAGCGGTAAAACAGAAGGGAATGCGCAGCATCCCGAACAAGGTGATAGGGATTCCAGCGCGAGCTCCAACGACACCACCGGCAAGGTTGCTTTTTTGCTAACACAGAAGCGAAGCTCTCCTGTCTTCTACAGAAAACTTCATCAAAATTAACAAGGTCGGCCAGTTACGTATTAGCGATGTTAAGACAGCTGACTGATCTCACTGTAGAAATCATCGCTTAATTTTTGATTTCTGGCTCTAAGACGCTCCGATCAAAAAAAAGCGTTTGATGATAAATATGCTTAAAATATGAAAAAACGTTTTTAAAAAATAAGAAAATAATAATTATTGCTAATTCAATAATCTGGAGCATTTTCCGTTATCAAGATGTTAGCCTGTGGAACCGCGCAATCCCGTTCGGCGAAAGCTTGTGCAATTCTGTCCGGCGGGCGCATTTTGCAATTTTGTCTTGCTGACGCTAGTGCAACTTTGCTCAGGAGAACCTTGCTGTTAAAAGTGTTCACTGCATTACTGTTTAATACGTTATGTTAATTTTGGTGTCAAAAATTTCCTGTCCCTGTAAATAAGACAAAGCGTGTGCGAGGACTAATTTTATACGCAGGCAGGGAGCATTATTCTGAAATTTTAACCTCCTAGCTTTTCTCATTTCCGACTTAATAATTTTCGTGTCAAAACTTGCACTCGTCCTCCCTCACGTGTTCGTACGTAGGAACTGGAAAGCGGCAACGTTCACCTTACGCCTGGGATCCCGTATGTAGGAGTAAACAAATTTTTATGCGCTTTTTGTGAAATTGGGCAATGAAAAAACGCATACTGATGAAAGAAAAAAGTACACTCCACATGTTGTATATTTTATCATATGTGGTTCTATTATATCGTATTTGCAATAAGCAGTATATTTACACATCAAATATTTTCAGCTATACATATATATGTGTAGCTGAAATTAGTTTAGAATTAACTTTCGCATCTCTCCTATAGAGACTACTGCTGTTTAGAATCGAGTAGGGTTTTGAAAAAAAATGCTTGTGTGCACCAGTTCAAGAAACCGCCACTGACTATATGTGGAAATTTTCGTGTATAATTCAAAAAAGGTCGAATATAGCCTGGGCCTGTCTTAACCGTACATATAAGGTTTCAAAGATCAGTGCCCTGGTGTCTTATGTACGCTTAGCGTAGTGACCTCTTGCCCACGTACGACCTTACAAATTCAATTTCAGCTTTCCTGCACTCTCGAGTATCACTTACGGCCTCGTGAAAGTTGTGGCGGGTAAACTATTGAATTTTTGAATTACACACGAAGATTCCCACATATAGTCAGTAGCGGTTTCTTGAAGCGCTTCATCCCCAAACTCTTTATAGATTCTTACAGTATATAAATGAGATGCTATAAATGAGATAAAAAATGAAAAAAGAAATATCCTGATAAAAATGTCTTTATAGCATATAAGTATAAATGATGAAATTATCCTGATAAACAAGGCATGTTGCTGGCCTGACAACCGGCGGGTCTATCAATCAGTAGAGACACACACGCGATCCCTTGAAGCGGCCTCTGAATGAGAGAGACACAGATGCATCGAACAAATGATGCATATTAGGCTATAAGCATGCAGTTCAGATTGGAAGGGCCTGGCAGAGTAACGCTTGATGTTCAAACATGACAACGCTCCAGTAACATCACTGATAAGGGATCCTTATAACGACTCTTCGTGGTTTTAGAATATTCTTGGTATTGCAGTGTTTACTCTTCTTTTCAATACTTTTTTTACTTTATTATTTTTTATAGATTTAATTTACCCACCAAAATTCCAAAACTCTGATATTATTAAGATTCAGCAGCCTACTAAGTGTCCACTTTCGCCTCCCTCTCCCTAACCAATGCTTCCCCCTCTTCTTCATTTTTCCTATTTCTCCGTCTTTACCGCCCCAGATTCCACCTTAATAATCATCACTACAGATCCATTAGTAACAAGAAAAATTGTTGAATATCTGTCTCTGTTCGGCTCAACAAGACCCAAAAGAATTGCACTTTGAAGTCCTCTCGAGAGCAAACCAAAGAGGTATGAAGCTATTGAATGGTCCAGTGCATTTTTTTTTTCTTTTCCGCTCTCTTTGCAATCATGAAATCGGCCTTCTCCATTCTCAGTTTTTCAGGGGAGGCAAAGGCAATCACTTGTGAGCCCAGTGAGCACTGTTACTAGCAGCAACGACAAAATGACAAGGCCGTCAATGGCTCGTTTCCTTTCTAGAACAGCTTGGGACGTGGGCTAGAAAAGGGCTTAATCTCTTGAATCATACGAACAAATCAGTGAATCGTATCTGGATGAAAAGCTTCAACTCCAAGTAGATATTCTATGCTAGTTACGAAATTGGCCTCTTATCTTTCCAATTCTTGATAAATTCGAAGTATCAAAGACGCGTATCTCTTAGGGGAATCGCTTAAATTCGAAATCTATTCAAAAAATTCAAGTTCTCTGTCCAAAGCATCAAAAAATTTTGAAAAAATTTCAGCAAGAGCCAGAAAAACGTCTCAAGGATGTGCTTGCTGCATTGGGATTGGATTCAGGGCGTGATGACGCGGAACTGCACGTCGGATTCAGCTGCATCGGCATGGACTGGGCATTCCTGCTACGAGTTGCTAATGCTCAGGCTATCCTCTCTATTGTAAATAAATCAGCAAAAATTAATATTACAGATCATCGTCAGAAATTTTTTAGTAAGAACATCAAAACCGACCGGACAACTGGTACAGGGTGCGATGTTTGCAAATGTTACTGTGATGACGTGCACACACCGGGAGGAGCTGCATTAAATCCTTCCATCCAATGCTACATATTCTAGCATATGCTTCCTGGGAAAAGGACTCAGTCCCCTACTCTATCCCTACGCCAGTATCTGATTTCATGACTACCAAAATGTGCGTTTGAAAAAGTCTTTACAGTATTTTGAAGTTCTATTTAAGCTTCCTAAGTGACACTGCTTCATCTGGATTTCCACTGCCAAGAATGTTAAGACAACTCGAATAATACTCCATGCAAATAACAACAAATGCAAATATGGCAAAAAAACCTAGTGCCTAGTGGCCAAAATCCAGTTTTGTCAGTTCTTGTACATGCACTGTCACGTTCACATCACGACGCATTCGGGCAAAAAAAGTGCCCCAGAGCACGCAAAGACACCTGGTTTTACCGGCCGCTGCATGTATCGCCAATAAATTATTAAAATGCATCATGCCTTTCAAGCCTGCTACTAAAGGAATTGAAATGATTAAAAATTGTAAAAAAGTATGGTGCAATCATCCAAATTAAGCTGTCGATAGCATGCTTGACAAGTTCGATGCTGCTGACGAAGTTCAATTTCTATCGCTTCACGTCATCCGCATGGGCAACCTATCTGCTTTCATGCGCTTACATCGGAATGAGAGCGTAAGTTACATCCGTATTACAGTTCCCAAAGTATTCCTGTGACAGTTCAAAAATGAGGCACGTCAAAAACACCGAGACCGCCGGGTAGTCAGTGTGAGTATCCTACGGTAATGCTGTTACTGGAGTGCTCCCAGACTTCATGCGCAGCTATGAGAAGATAAAATGTATTTGAGCAAAAATAGAACACATTTTGTGCCGAAGAATGCCCCAAATTTTGCTGTTTTTGGCTTGCTGATTACGCAAGAATCCCGGGAAAAAAGATGCTACGGTGGTCTTTCGTTTTGAAAAAAAAATAAAACTCTAGTTTGTACATACAGCTTAGCAATCAGATCTACGACCAAATGTGTTTTACTGATAAATGTGTGCGGGAATTTTTAGCGGCCGTTGGCAGAGTTATCCACACGCGATCGCTTACTGTGGCATGTGCACATTCCAGTCGTTGGTCTATATGTCCACAATGTGCTGGCTCTTCTATTCGGTATATGCGCTCAATGCACACACGCACACCTATGATTTCAGTGAGAACCGTGCTAATTTTCTGTTTCGATTTGTTTTGGCATTTTCAATTAAACCAGAAATACACATCACAACAAAATCGTGTGTGTGTGTGTGT